GGACTAGGAAAAATGTGTGTGCCCATGATACCTTTTTCCGTGGCTCTAGTTAGGCAGTCCAGACTTTTACTGATAACAAACAGTAGCCGGCAAAGAAAACTGTGTCAAGAAATAAAATCTAGATGGGAGATGTGACTGAGATTAAGTTTGCACTCAATTAAGCCCTTACTACGGAATTTGTATCAGCTATTCTAGGAAGTATGTCTTGATAGGAAACAAACTCTGAGTCCAAAAGAGGTGATGGGGCCCCTGAGCACTACATAAACAACCAAACACCATGCTCTTCTCTCCTCGCTAGGACCCTGTCCCTTCCAGCAAATGGTGTCACGCTGATCTGAGGACTGTGAGGGAAAGAGTCTCACTGGGGGAAACCCTAGCTCTCCAGGGGTGCTTGGCTAGGGTTGCAATCTGCTTCTGCCCTGTGGTGACGAGGTTGTTACTTATCTCTGCTTGCAATGTAGGGAGTGAGCTGTATCGGGTGTACAGAGCAAACACAACACTCCTCGCCTCTGAAACACTGGTAGTTTAGAAAGCAAGATTCAGCTCATTGAACAGTGCCATGGAGAACATGGTTTGTTGTGTTTTCTCTGAAAATCAGTCTCTCCTTTCCATCTTTCTGCCACCAGCTTCCTTCAGGCCTTCGTGTTGTTGCATCCAAACCGGCCTGCCTGCCTTGCCTCCAGCTTGCCTTCTCTCCAGCCACAGGCCAGGGCTGGGGCGAGCCCTGTAAGACACCGACAGGTATGAGAGCCTTCCTTGCCCTCAGACTTTGGCTGGCTCCCCTGTGCCCAGCGCAGGCGAGTACAACCTCCAAGGCCTCCATAACTTGGCCTCGGCCCACCTTCTCTCCCACTCCAAAAATCTCAGGCTCTGGTTACACTGACCGACTCACTGCCCCGAGACTCCACACAGGCAATTCTCCGCCCAGTGGATCACACACTTATTCCTTTCACTCTGGGTAATTGAGGACGTGAGGTCTGGCCACGTAACTTCATTTAACTTCTGTGGAGCAGTCTCTTTAGATGTACAGAATTATGACAGGAGAGAAGCAGGAGAATGAGGCCCAGAGGATACAAAACAGACACACCTACACAAACCACCTGCTGTGTGCCAGTGTTAGAAATCCCCACGTGTGCTAAGAAAAGATGTTCAGATGGGGGCACTTAGTTGGTCTGATCATTAAATGCCTCCAATGACACAACATGAATAAACTTTAATTTTAATTTTCTGCATATTGAACTCAGAGGATGGTCTTAGTGAGCAAATCAAGTCTTTAAAGAGTCATGTCTCTCCTCCCTTTCCCCTCTTCCCCACGTCCTCACGACACACTTACCTACTGTGTAAGACGTGTCCTTGCAGGGGTCAAATGGTGAGATGACAACTGTTTAGGAAATGTTTTTCTATTGTACTCGGTACTCAGAAGCTGTTCTGTCCAAGGTAAACCAACAAGGCCCTGGAACTTATGTTAGGAAGCAATTACAGATACATGTGACAGGACCAGGAGTGCTGATCCTTTATGGGGTAGGGACAGCAGAGGTGGGGGCTGGTGGGGGGACACACAGTTTGCTGCCATGAACTTCTGCAGGGAAAGATTGTGTCTTATTTATCTTGATGTCCTCTACAGTGCCCCCCTGCCCAGGACAGTGGCTGTCACAAGATGGACCCTCCTTCAGCTATTCAACAAATATGTACTAGCAGTAGAGGATCTGTTTTTCCATGTTTGGAGGTTTAGGCTTGTTGATAACAGCTGGATTCTTTCTCTGTTTTGTCATCTGCACTTTTGGACTCTGAGCTGGACCTTGTCTTGCCCGGTTTTTATAATCATCCCTCTCTCCCTCCCTAGCCCACTCCGAGGTACTCGACCTGCAGTAGGTTCCCAGCAAATACTCGCTGGGGAGGAGGAGATAACATAACAAAAAGCAGTAGAGCGGGTCGGGGATCATCCTGAAATCCATCTTTAAGGACAGATAATTTTCTCTGAGGCTATTGTCTGATCTTGTTTCCAGAAAGTCCTGCCTCTGTAATGGCTCTAGTTGTTGTCACCTTTGGTTACTTTCCTGTGCTGGCCGAGTTCGTCACCAAAGCCCATCAGTTTCCCCACTTAACAAGGCAAAAACCTCCCTCCCTCCTAACCTACCTTTCTTTTTTCTGAAGACATTCCTGAAACATGTTCAGAGGGCATACAGTTGGGCACCTTTGGGCGCTCAGAGGGATTCTCAGGGGATGGACCTATGAATGGATCATTGCAAACTATGCAATGAAGGCTCCCAGAGTTGAAAACATGGAGGAGTAAACTTACCAATAGCAAGAAGGAAAAGGAGGTAGGACACAGCAAGTGGGAGGGTCAGGGACATCTTCCCAGGAAAGATGACCTGAGACTTCAATCCTGAAGGAAGAATAGACACAACCTAGTTGAAGAAAGAGGGCAGGGGCTTCCAGGCAAAGGGAAACATGTGAAAAGGCAAGGGAATGGGAGGAAAACAATGGAACTAGATTTCCTATGTGACTTATCAAGTCCATCTCATTGCTTTATATTCTAACCATTTACCTCATAGCAAGTGAAATGATGTTAACCCTCAGGCATTTTAGAATATTTAGACAGCCAATCATTTAATCTCTTAAAAAGAAAGGCATTGATAAGGTGGGCTGGCCAAGAGATTAAGCAGGTTCTTGGTTGAAACCAGGATTGGGTGTTTATGGGAAACCACACCGGAGGCTGATGAAAATCAGGCAATTAATGTGAAATGTAAAACTTTTTTTTTATTCTCTCTCCTTAGGAGTTTGAGAAGTTGGAATTCTTTGTTGTGTGGACAGATGAGTCCATGGTTTCTCTTAGCCTAAGGATGAGACAGAAGACAAGGACAGAGTGATTCTAGGAATTTCAGGTGGGGCCAAGGTCTATTTTGAAAGCCTTTTTGGACCAAGCCTTTGCAGGTCCAACACTTTCAAAACGTTTAGCGAGATGGTCCCAGTCCTACACCCCAGCTGCAAACGAAGGAGAGGACAACACCCTTCTCTGAGTGTGGTTTATTTTTGTTCACAGAACCTCAGAAGACAGGAGGCCAAGGCTGACCTTTTAGTCAAGAGTCAGCTCAACTTTAAAATTATGATTGCATGTGAAAGCTAAAATGGGAAAGAGAAAAAAAATCAGTTCTCAGAACAGAAATGCTAAAAACCCTTGGGCCACATTCCAGTCAAGGCCCCGGCCCCGCACCAGCACTCCCCCTGGGGTGGGTGGGCAGGAGAGCAGCCAAGCCCAGCTCAAATCAGTGGAGTGTCAGGGATCATGGGGTTATTCTAGAGGTGCTCAGCTTACAGATAAAGAAACTTACCAGAGCGATTATGCTAGATAATCCTTAAAAAACAAAAGCTCATGGGCAGGTCTTGTTACTGAGACAGTTACCTGCTAAAACATTTACCAATTTCCAGTGAACTACAATATTTGCAGTAATTTAAGAAATCAGAGGGAAAGAGGCTAGAAGCCTGAAATCCAGGTTTTGCTAAGGGTGGCTCCTATTGGAGGCCCATCTCCTAGCTTCAGGTGGTTGTGGGCAATCCCTGTGTTTCTTGCCTGGACTACATCACTCTGATCGCTGCCTCTGCCTTCACATGCTGTTTCTGCCCTGTGCACGTGTCCAAACTTCCCTCTTATTACAAGGACACCAGTCATTGGATTAAGGCCCACCCTTATCTAGTATGAGCTCATCTTAAATTGATTATGTCTGTAAAAACCCTATTTCTGAGTAAGTTCACATTCACAGGCATGGTGGTTAGGACTTCAACATGTCTTTTGCGTGGACACAATTCAACTCACAGTGGAGTGTAAAACAAAACAAAAACAAAACCCTGGGCAACGCATGAGAAGACCTGGCCGTCCAACCTGCTGCCTCCTGTTACAGTCCCTGGCACTCTCAAAGTTTCAGTCCTCCTCTCTAAAGCAAAGCAACGCCTGTCCTGCTTACTCACAGATGCCATGAGAATAAAATAATGTTTAAAACGTATTTTCTATATGGAAAGTATTTCTACAAGTGCGAGGGATTATTATAAATTCATTTCAGATTGTGTTGACTTTTCCTTCACTTCATAACTACGTAATGAGTAGGTAATAAAATGAGAAACGCAGCCTTACAGGGAAAATAATTGAAATTACATGTTTCCCTTCATTTATGCTTTGAGATAAAAGTACAAGAGCAATCTGCAGAGAGGGAGAATAGCGGTGCAGATCCTGTGCCCTGGGCTTCTCCCTCACACCAGATCAGGGTGGCATTTAGGTGAAACTAAGGGGCAGAAAGCAATGGAAAGGCAAACCAAGAGGGGCCATGTTCTCCTCTGGGGCATCAGCAGGCATCTCCAGTGGCGGTGACTTCCCTCCCCTCTGTCTCTGTGTGGCCCATGGCAATGTCCTGATAGTGGCTTTGAATTTGCTTTGTCTGATGTTTTTTCTCGGTATGGGGATACCCACCTTACAAAATTGGCTAAAAATGACATTTTCCTGGTTGACTGATGTGGCATGCCCCAAAAGCATTATATAGCCAGAAAAAAAATAAATAAAGTTAAATCTGCAGTTTAAAAGAGAAAAGTCCCTTTCTCTTTTGTAGGAGGGCTGAAACTCTAGCAGTGAAAAGGAAAAAAAAATTAAGGCCACCAGATGAAGTCAAAGGGACTTGGAAGGCGCATAAAAAATTTTCACACACACTGGAAATGCCAATAAGAGGTGTCATGCATGACAACTTGAGAATTACAGTTCTGTCCAAAGCATCATGTGACCACCTGAGTGTCAGTGATGACCACAGTCGTGACAGATTCTGTTGACCTGGGACCTTGGGGGTTTGCTGACCCAGGAGAAACCCAAAAGGTAAGAAAAGCACCGGCAAAAAGAAACAAAGAAGCTCTCAGGAGGCTCTCCATCAGCCCTGCAAGTAGAATTCGCTGTTTCTCACTGCTGGGTACTTGTGCTTCCCAGGGCAACTACATACCTTCAGGAATATTCCAACCACACACAAGGTAATAAACAAAAGTTTATTTTTCTTTAATACAAAAATTAAATAGCAAAGTTTATTTTTTTACACAGCGATAAATTAGAAATTTACAGTACAGACATCAATGCAGACATACATTTGTACATCCTTAAAAGCAGGGTCCATTTCCTTCGACGTTCAGCAATTCGTTTAGGGCATGTGTAGCTGGGATTTGCCTGGTACCTCTGTGTCGAACATCTGAAAGTCCCCAGAGTGGCCTCAAGGTGGCAGGAGCTGCAGGGGGGCACAGGGGTCCAGAGAGAGGACACGGAGCACTGGCTTGACTGTGGCATGAGCAGATCGAGCCACATTTCATCTCTTCACAGGTCACTGCTGCTATCTATTCCACCCTTCCTACAAAGAGCTCAAGGGGCCTTCATCTTCAGACCTCTTGAAGTCTTACAACATCTCTGTGAGGTAGAAAAAAATTCAGAACCACCAAGATGCCCCACGGTGAGAGACTAGAAAGCAGCCCGCCCCTCCCGAAGCCCACAGCCAGGTCAGGGCCTGGGCTGTCAGCAGGGTGTGGAAAGGTGCACATCTGGGAGAGAAGACAGACCTGGCTGTCCCGGTGCAGAGCTGCCCTTGCCCCTCTTCTCAGAAGCCTTCCGAACGACAGTGGTCATGGACTGAATATCCTAGGGGATCAGGGGGCTACAAAATTTGAAGGACAAAGGTCATACAGGATCCCAAACAGGCCTACTACAAGTTGCCTGGGTGAATACTGAGAATTTGCTGGTGCAAAGAAGAAGAGAAATAGGTAAACTGGAAACAGAAACAAGTTACTATAGGGCAACTGGCTTACCAAGGGGCAAATCCTGTCAGGGAAATCCTGGGTTCGCTTCCCTCCTGGTAATGGCCAGCATGCCACTACTGCACATGTGTGTGGCAAGAAGCAGCAGCAGGAAGCTCTGGCCAGGCCACAGTGAAGCAAAATACATTATTTAAGCCTCTGGTATCTGATGCTAGGTAGGAGCAAAGTGCTCTCCTAGGAGTTTCCAAGATCTATATGGCCTAGGCCCAGAGGAAAAATGATAACCTGGGTCCTTTGCCAGACATGATACAAACCCAGCCAGGGACTCTGAACCCAAATACAATAAAGGAGAAAAAAAACCTGTCCGAGTCCAGTGACTTAACATAATTGGCTGATACAGCAACTCTTCCCCAATCTCCTCCCTCACAGAAAGAACTTGAGGATGTAGATGTGCTGGGTGGCTCTCTTCCCTAACTACTGCTGAGGTCACCTCACCAGAAGTCACAGAAGCCAAAGATTACACCATCCTGGTAAAATCACTTGCAACTGAGTGTGTCTTCCTGGGCTGAGTTCCTCTTTGAGTCCTCAGGTTCCAGCTTGGTTCCCAACACAGTAAGCACTGGATTGAGTGTCCAGGAGGCTGAGGGGGGCCAGAGAGGACAGAGCTGGGGGTGCTGGTAAAGTCACAGTTCAGGAATGGAGACAGAATGTCTCCCGCCTTCTGGGTTTGGTGGGTGCTGGTGAGGGAGTGACCGGGGAAAGGAAAGTCAGAGAGCATCTCAGGGAAATGAAAAGTGTCACCCTTTCTCTGGTTTCAGGTCCCTGAGCAAGCTGCCAGCTCAGAAGCAGTCTCAGAGATCAGGAAACAGGTCTCCACAGAGGAAAAAGGATATGAATCTACCAAGTAGTTCAACCAGATGATTCTGGCTAGTTCCACCCTACCACATGTCTCCCCGCACTGAGATGGGGGGGGGGGGGGCTTCATGAAGGAGAAAGGAGTTTGCCAGAGAAGAGGCTGGAAAGATGTGCCCTTGGGCTCTACTGAATAAAATCTCTGGAAGCCAAGGCCCTGTGCAGGAAGCTACAAGCATACCTACTTACTCTAGACTTCAAAGAAAAAATCTTTTTCCTAGCAAGATACTGTCCACAAGTTTACCTGTGCAAGTCACATGGAACACCCAAGCTTGGTATTGCCTGCCCCAAAGCCACATTCTATGTGGGAGCTCACGTCCTTTACAGCCAATCTTAGTCTTCCTACAAGATTCCCACAAGACCACCATGAGGCAGAGCTGACGCCTTCTGTCAGGACCCATCATTGATTGCAGGGAATTCTGGGAAGGGATCAGAGATGCATTAAAGATAGTATAAGACCAGGAAGAGGTTTAAGGGATGGAGACAGTGAAAGAGATGGCAATTCAGAGATACCTGCACCTTCCCAAATTGAACAGCAAAGTTCCGCAGGCCCAGGGGCATCCCAGTCCAGGTCAGGGAGAACAGAGCTTGTGGTCCACGACATCCGCTACAGAGCCCAACATAGCGCCTTACGCACAGTCGGCACTTAAGCAACATGTAGATAATTGACCTTTTTTTTTTTTTAAACAAAGCCAACGTAAGAGGTGATGGAGTCACTTCAGGGTAATTGGTAACTAACTCAGCCACAAGCTCCTTTCCTAAAACCATAAACACTCTCCATTGTCTGGAATGTGGAGGGAAAGGCCTATAACCCTGTGGCATTGCTAAGGTTATGAATGGGCCTGCACCCACAGTCACTTCTGACTAAATATACTTTCCCCTGAGAAGGTAAGAGATTTGTAGGAGAGACATGTTAAAACCCAAAATGTTGTCAGGGCACACCAGCTCCAGAACTTGGTTCACTCAAGTACTCGTATTATTATTATTATTATTATTATTATTATTATTTCACTGCTTACAAATATTGAGCACCTACTGTGTGCCTGGCCCTCTGCTAGGTGCTACTTTGGTCACACAATCCCCAAACATTACAAAGAAAATTGTATTACAAACCTCAGTGCCCAGCGGCACGGTCAGTCTTTCCCTTGCCTGGACCACAGGCTCTGCACAACTCCCAAGACACTAGAGCAGAGCGTGAGTAAGGGCAGACTCTGCCCCTGGGTGCATGCTCTAAAGCCCGGCCAGCTCTGGGAACTGTCTGCAAGCAGCACGGGAGTTCATGCTGTACATTTCATAGGCAATGTAATCTCAGATGGAGTTCAACTGGTCCTTCTGAGGATCCTTTCTCATGCTCCTGAAGCCCTGACCCCGGAGGCCAGCCAAGGTACTCAGGCTCAGTGGCACACACAGCTGGGCCCCCCCACCCCCCGCCCCGCTGTGTGCCCACTTAGGGACTGTCCCCAAAGCTCCAAGACTTTTCCTTCCAGAACCTGCCATGGACCTTACATGCATCTGCATCTCAGACAGCTCAAGAGCCACACAAAAGCAGAAGGAAGGAAAGTGCCAAACCACGGGCATCAAACTCAAACAAACAAAAAGTCACGCTTTTTGGAATTTTGAGTCTCTGGAGATGTTTTCTCACTAAAAAATGTGATGAAAGAGCTTTCTTACCTGTTTTTAAAAAGGGGCTGGGGCATGGATAAATAAATAAACGAATCATTGCAAAGTAGTTGCTAAAGCAAAGACAGGTAGGAGTTAACAAGGAGAGCAACCTGTGACAGTGTCCACAATTTGTCCCAGAGATCTGGTGATTAGAAGGCCTAAGGTAGGTTAAGGAAAGGCCAGTTACAATTTTAAAAGAACTGCAACTTTTGAGAGGTTGCTAGGGGGTACCCCCTTGTAAAGAACATAAAGCATAAATTTTAAAAGCTCTGGATACCTCCGCAAAAGGCAATTAAGACCTGTGCTGTTAGAGTTTGCAGTTCATTTCATATGGTCTCCACTTTATTCCCTACAAACCAATCGGCTCCTGGCTAGCATTCTGGAGATTCATTAAGCACCATATAAATACTCCAGGCCACACTGCCTCCAATGAAATCTTATAAGGAGGCTTTGCCAATTACCGGGAAACAATTATGCACCAAGTAGTTGGATTAGCTGTCCTTAGTTCCCTCTACAAAACTGAGAAAGTCTCCATTGTGGTAAGTAGACCAGACTCCTCTGATAACATTCTTATGCTAAAAAAAAAAAAAAAAAGGCACTATCATTCTGAGAATGCAAGTTGACCACAGTTTGAAAGTCAGTTGAATATACTATTATGTCATGGTCCAAGAATGTGCTTTTAATTGTAATTGACACACACAAATTACAGTTAATCTGTGTGAATGCAAAGTTGCCAAGAAACTTAACATTGCAGCTCTTCCAGACTGGCGTCTGCATAGATGCAATCACACGAAGTAAAATATATTAAGTCCTCATCGCTCAATGCAATAGGTCTCTGGGGTCGGTAAGGTAAGTCGACTTGGTAAATCTCATTTTCCTCTGAATTAAGTGATTGTCAGAAAGTGAATCACCCTTCCTTCCCCCCTCATTAGGCATGCTGCAGTGCAAAAATTCCTATAAAAATACCTATTTTGAGTTATTAATGTAAAGTGAAAGAAACAGCAGCAGCCTCAAATAGATATGTTGAAATTTAAGAGGAAGAGAGAGAAGAAAAATGCACTGGATACCTTATGTGTGTTTGTACAGTACTTTTGTTTGTTCAAACAATTCTGTTTTATGACAAAGGCACTGAAAGATTCTGACACCACCTCTTGGGAGAGCAATCCACAAGTTCTAAACAGCAGACAATACACCACAGAAAATGTTTATGTTAGATCAGCCAACTATAAAACTCTTGTAACACGTCTCTGAGCCCAGCATTTCCAGTGTTTATAGATTGCTTTGCTATCTGAAAGACCCAGTTAGTATTTTAAATTTTAAAGAGTTAAAAAAAAGTTAATCTTTCTCCCTGCAAGTTACCTCCTCACAGCTCAAATCCCACCCCTCAGGGAAAAGCAGCATCGCCCTGGACCTCCTGGAATCTAGGCAGGACCTCCACGTTCCAAGTTGCGACCTGCTAAAGTGATCAAACGTTATGATTTTTCACAGCTTTGAAAGCCTTTAACTGGCTTTTCCATTTTGGATTATTCCAAAGTCTGCAGCAAAATCATGAGTTTTATGATGTCGAGGGGGAGAGGGAGAGGGTGGTGGGTTATGGGGGTCGCTTTAGGGTGGCTAGTTTGTTCAAACTGAGATTCACTGCATGAAACTTTTAGTAGCATTTGCACAGAAATGCTGGTGTTTTCCTTCAAAATCTGGGAAGTGTGGAGGCTGGCTAGCTTTATACCACAGTTTCATTGCCTTTCCCAGGCTTTACCCAGCCGTTCCCTCTTTTTTCTCTCTTTACCTTCCCAGAATTCACCAATCTGTTGGAACACTTCTGCCAAGTGTGAAGAGTTTTGGCAGACCAAATCCACATGCCTGAAGTGATGCCCACCAGCAAGGACATAAAAATTTTCAACATTTCAACCGCCATATTGGAGTCATCTGCAGAATACCGGAAAAGCGCCCAGTTGGAGATTTCATAGAAATAACAGGCAATCACACAGGTTGCAGGAACCGTGTAGAGGACTGAGAAGACCCCAATCTTGACCATCAGCCTTTCCAACTTGTCTGTCTTTGTCCCATCCTTTTGAAGATTTGACCGAATTTTGAACAAGGCCACCAAACCTGCAGCAATGAACAAAGTTCCGATCACCAAGTAAGTAAAGAGGGGAGCCACCACAAAGCCCGTGAGAGCATCCAGGTTTTGGTTCCCAACATAGCACAGGCCAGTGAGTTCATCTGCATCCACCAGTCTCATAATCAAGATGACAATAGTTTTCACTGCAGGGATGGCCCAGGCTGCAATGTGGAAATAAGAGCTGTGCATTTCAATGGCTTCATGACCCCATTTGAGTCCGGCTGCCAAAAACCAAGTGAGTGTCAGAATAACCCACCAGATGGAACTGGCCATTCCAAAAAAGTACATCAGCAAGAAAATGATTGCACATCCTGTGTTCTTAAGGCCTTCTTGGATGAGAACAGGTTCTGCTGCCTCTTCAAAATCGCAGGATATCCTTTCCCGGCCTACAGTCAGCCTGACAATATAAGCAATGCTATAAATATTATAGCACATACTGAGAAATATGATGGGGCGCTCAGGGTAGGAAAACCGGGAAGAATCGATCAGAAAGGTGAGCACAGTGAATGCGGTGGAGATGAAGCACAGGCTGGCCCACACGGCCATCCAGATGTCAGTGAACTCCTTGGCGGAGCGGCTGTATAAACCAGCATCATAGCCACACTTGAGAACGCAGTTCAGGCTCCTTTTCACCCAGATATACTGATCGGAATTGGTTCCCACAGAATGGCACTCTTCCCCAGGCTGGATAGGGGTTTTGTGAGGTAATGGCACCTCCTCATCACCTGGCCCTTCCATGCACATGTGGTTGTGGTCATTCTGCGGTGGAAATTTGCTGCAGTTCAGGCTCTCCGGCCAGGCAAATCCAAATTCCTTCAGGACAGGTTCACAGCGTCTCTTGACTGAAAGACACATGCCGCCACACGGGCCGATAGGGATGTTGATCTTCTCTGTGCACATCGGCACATACACGGAACAAAGGAAGAACTGGAAAAGTAATGAAATGAACAAAGAAAACAGTGACTTGGAAGTATGACCAAATGCCTGTGTAAAGCTGAGTTGTGAATGCTTCCAGGCAAAGTTCATAACAACTTTTAAAACCTGCCTATAGGGAGTCTGACCATTTACACCGACCTCAAACAAGGGTGCCTAATAACCTATCACTTACACACCTTCTTCTTTTGGGTCTAGTAATCCCTTCCAGGAGAACATAAATAAATAAATGTATAAAACGGAACCCCAAAATTATATAATCCCTTTTTGTACAACACTTAAAAAATAAACCTAAAAGACTGACTTTGAGTCTCCCTCCCCTTTCAGCTACTGTTTGAAAGAGGTGAACAGACATTAAAGGACTTATTTTGGTGATAGGTGATTTATTTTCATTCCAATTTCTTTATCACCCTAAAAAATAAAGGTAGAAAAAGTAGACCCAGCTTTTCTCCTGTGAAAATTCTGTCTTTCCTCTACTTTATCCCCTAAAATTATTTTTTAATCAGTCTCATATTGAAACAGAAACTGTCCTAGTTAAGATACAGTTAGACCCAACAATGGGATGCTGGTTGAGGTCTCCAGTTGCACGGGGTTTGTTTGGCCAGGTTTCCACACTGAATAAAAATGAAGCACAATAGGAAAATATAAATGTTAAGTCCCTGACACTGCAATACCAGCAGGGGAGAGTGCAGTTGCTGTCCTCAATTCCTCCAGCATTGATAAACAGTCTGCTTGGCTCCTTACAGATGTTGTCTATGAAGTCTAGAGTTACAAGTAACTATTTTCCAGCACGTAAAGGGATCCAGTCCTGTCCTTCAAAACAGCTTGGCTGCTTCCCCAGGATACATGTAATTAAAAATATATATCCCTGCAAAAGCTGTTTCTCCAACAAAATTGCCACTGATGTCAGGATATGTGCTGTTTCCAAACCGAGAGCTAGAGGATCATTTTTTAAGCTTTTATAACCTAGTTCTGAAGTTCTGAAACTTCCAAAGGGACATTTCACCAGCAACAGGTCTAATCCCAACCATCTTTCTGAAACCACAATCCAACTTTTAAAATGACCTATATAAAAACATGCACCTAGTAAATAAGCTGTCTGCTTGTTTCTTATCTCTCAGAAGTTACAACCAGAACCACAGATTTTCTAAAGCTTTTACCCTGGACAACTACCTCCTCTTTTTTCCCCCGATTTCTCTTCTAAATTTCCAAAAACCACTCAGAGCCTCACCAAACAAAACAACCAGTGTTAACACTTTTTAAAATTTTCTTTCAATTCTTTTTCTTTTCCAATGAAATGGTTGTTGTTTTTCTAAGATTGAAATCAGCTTGTGTATGCAAATTATTTCTTCACTTACTATTATAGGATGAATATTTTCTGCATCATACATACGCTTAAAAACTTTTAATGACTGCAAAAACAACAATAACAACATCTTCTAATATACAAACTACCTTCTCAAAGCTTAACCATACCATCACTTTTTTTTCCAAGCTGTGTCTTCTCTGCCTCGAAGTACTAAACCTGCCCTCAACCCTGAGGATAAGAACAAATTCAAGCTAATCCAACCATTCCTTCCTGCATGACCTCTAAAATCAGGCGGGCGACACGACGAGGGGCCATTCCGCAGAAAACAGGGCAGTGGTGTTTCATTTAATAAACCACCCAAAAACATGGGGTAAAAATGAGGTCGGTGAGAGAGAAGTTCCCAGCTCCTTATCTCTCCTTCCAAGTCTTAGCTGCAGCTGGCTGCCCTGCCGGGGACTCGCCCACTGAACAGCGGCGGCCAGAATCCTTGGCAAAGATAACCCTCAGCTCCACTGGGGTTAGGGGCTTGGCCAGACACGGGTGGGTAGGGGAGAAAAACGGAAGGGCGGGGTGTAAGAGTGGGTTCTTTCGCAGGCCAGATGACTTACACAACGTTTTGGCTTCCAGTCCCTGAGAAGGGACAGAAAAGTGGGGGTGGGGGTGGGGGTGGAAATCACTTTTTCAGGACAGTTATACCCTTCAGCCTAGGAAGCGGGCAGGAGGCTCGACTTGGTAAGGGTTCCACGTAGTTAGTTTGGGGTGTCCCTGCCCAAAGGTCCCGCCAGGGGTGGGGGGTGGGGGCGCCCACCTGCAGCTGGCTGGAGCAGCCGTACTGGATGAGCGGCGTGAAAGTTGTCAGCTGCAGCTCCGCGTCCGTCTGCAGCTCATGCCCCACAAGGTTGGGCATCTTGGTCACGTTGTAACCCAGGTTCTGGCACATGGAGATGCGGATGGGGTCGCAGCGACGCTCCTCCTCATCCCCAAAGCCCCAAGCCGATCCCAGGAGCAGTAGCAATACCAGCAGGAGCCGCAGACTGAAACCGACGCCCGCGGGAGCCCCCAGGACTCTCGGCCGTGCTCCCCACCAGGCCATGGCCAGAGCCGGGGGCAGCGGCGGCGGCGGCGGCGGGGCCAGCTCCAGCAGACACCCCCAGTTTGCAAGGGGTTTGCCGGGTCCCCGCGCTGCTCCCAGCTCCGGGGCAGGGAGTGTGATAAGGCGCCAAGGGCGACGAGGGTGCAGCAGTCGGCTCTCCAGCAGCTGCGTGCAACTGTGTGGGATATTAGACTCCCCGCGCCGAGGCCGAGAGACACACTGCGAGGGTCATGGCTGCAGGCGGTGTGCCCCCAACCCAGCGCTGGCAGCGTCCGCACACTGGTCTCCACGAAGCCCGCCAGCACACGGCGCCGCGACGCTCTCACAGCCCAAGCCCTCCCCAGCGCTAGAGGTTCGCTGGGCGGTAGCGGGGCGGGACGGACAGCGTGCCACTCCAATGGCTGGGCGCTGTGGGCAGTGGGGGGCGTGGCCGCTCTGCGGCTGGAGGGGTCAGGCCCCGCCCGCCCGCCGCCCTCCACCGCCCCGCTCTCCCCCCCTCCCAGCCCAGAGCGCCCCGCCCTTGCCTCCCTGCTCTCACTTTTCTCCCACCAGGTTCGCCGCATTCGGGGGGCCAGGCGGGGATGGAGCCAGTCACTCCGGCCCGGCCAGTCTGCCCCCTCCTCTCCCAGGTGAAAAGTGCTCCCAGATGAGTCGGCTCCCTTTCCTCTCCTTCTTGCAGCTGTCACCTCGGCCCGTGGCCGGCCACCTTCCCGTCGGGCGGAGAAACGCGTACAAAGCACAGGGGATCTCGATTTACGAAGACTGTGGCTTTAAATCCCGGCCTTGTGACCTTGAGCAAATTGCTCAACCTCTGTGCGTCTTTTTCCTCCTCCGTGAGGAGACTTGGGAGGATTAAGCGATAATACGTAAAACGCTTAGCACCGTGCCTGGTACAGCCCGAGCTCGCAGCTATTTCCACTCCCAACTTGCTTGGTTTGGAGCCCGGCCCCCTCTGCCCGCCCCCCGAGGCTCGGCCGACCTGCGCTCCGGAGCTGCCCGCCTCCAAGCGCGTGGGGGGAGGCGCCCCGGAGCAGCCGGCCAGCCGAGGGTCTCGCGCTCCGATTTCCTCACCGTATGAAATGAAATTCCACAGGGGGATTCGAAAGGAAATGAGGCCGGGACGCTCCGTGCTTCTCAGCCCGCCGCCCTTCCTGTCTCGGGGACACGGTTTCTAAATAAGGTTGGGAGAGTGAGAGGGCGGGCGGGGAGAGGTTCGACCTGCGCGAGAGCAGCAGGGGGTGGGGGGGCGAGAGTGCCCACAACCAACGGGCCCCCCTTCCTCCAGCCTCCCAGGCATCCCGCCCTGCAGCCTGCAGCTCTTTCTAAAATACTCTGCTTCTGCATAGTGTCCTGGAGATCTGGGGATCCTGCGACCCGTGTTTCGATCCAACTTAGCCCCGCTCTCATCCCCAGCGCCCCCAACCCCACCTCCCGGTCTGGGCTCCGGACTAGTTTACGCTCTCAGATTTCCAGTGGGCCAGTGGAACCCTCAGCAGGTGGATTCTTACAACATTTGCTTGTTGCTTTACTGTGGTCAAAGCGCTGCGAGTACCTGCCCCAAACTGGCTATCTGTGTGAAATGAGAAAGTTCGTGTCTACTACACACAGTTTTTCTACGAGTTAAATGAGATAATGCCTGTAAATCGTGTGACTCAGTGTCTGGCACAGCGTCTAGTTAAGTGCTAAACACCTTGGTTATTGCCGTTGTGGGACGGCCTCCTACTTCCCAGCATGGTGCTGAAAGACATCTCTGGCATCCCAGGTCCAAGGTTCTGGGTGGAGGGCTTTCTACTCTCTTTGTGAGATCTTGTTGTCCAGCGCTTGCCACTGTTTTTCTAGGGCTGGTGACAGGGATCACTTTTCTGTGCGTGTTGGTATCTCCCCATTTCAGCTAAGTCTGGTATATGGCAAAGGCTGGATATAAGTTGGGAGGATGTCTTACCACTACCGTAGTGCTCATATTCTGTTTTGTATTTTTAGTTTTCTTGTATTGGCAAATAAATGTGGCTAAGGGAGATGATGGAATCAACATTTTTCTGGTATTTGGCACTGCACCAGAAATGTGTTGGGCACACAGAAGCTGCATTGTCTCCAGCCATTGTCATCACCCCCCGGGGAAGAAGACTCCACTAGCCTGTTAGAGATGAAGAAACTGAGGCTAGAACAAAAGTGATAGTTAGACAATGAAAGATCAGTCAAACCAAGGGCTGGAAGGAGGCCTTTAAAATATGGGGAAAGAGTTGTTTCTCCAGAAAATTTTCTAGCTGGAAATCTACATACTCAGCAGTAGCGGTGAATCTTCTGTATGCCTGTACTAAGTAATGCATGAGACTATTGGCCTACAGAGATGAATAATGATTCGATGTATGAATCAAATGAATAGATAGATAATCCCTACCCTCTAGTAACTCACAGGAGGATACAAAACATAAACAGACATCTGTAACTCAATGTAATAAATGGACAGAGAGAATTTTGGGTAAACTAAAGGTAGCTAAGTCTAGAGTGCTGCCCAAAGGAAGATGACCCCAGGATTCTGAGCCACTCAACAAAGCAGAGTTAGTGTACAATTGTCACTTCTCCCTCCCAGAGAGGGTAGGAGGGTTGGGTTCCTACTAAAGATATGTGTACGTAGTTTATTAAACAATGACCTCCAATGATTTATTAAACGATAACTTCCATGAAGTCAAGGGCTAGGTACATAGAGGAATTACCATTAGTGTTGGGTGAAGGAATACTATATTATCAAATCAATAACAACTTAGATTACGTTGTGCCAGATTATCTCTTATTTTGCACAACAGCTTGAGAAAACTCGTGTTCTGGGAGGTTAAGCAGTTTGCCCAAGATCACACAGTAAGTGACAGAGATGGGCTCGGATGCATACCTGCCTAGCTCAGAAGTCTGTGTGCAGCGCCTGGTACTGCTGTCACAGAGGAAACTCTTGACACACCCAGTCTTCTCTACAGTCTTCTAAAGATGACTCTTTTACGTTCTGGGCCTCATACCTGGCCCTGGCATCCCTGACATCCCTCATCTTGCTTGAAGTGACTGTCTCCTTTTAGAACACTTGAAGAAGAAGCCCCCTTCCCTGTCAGAAGCTTTTCCTGTCAACAGCTTTTCTTTCCCTGCATGGAGCTGATCGCAGGTATTTTCCAAAAAAGAAAGCCAGGGGAATCACATTTCAGTCTGAATGTGGAGAGAAAACAAAGTCCACAACTTAGAGCTAAGTCTGAATGGCCTGGAGCCCCTCGGCTTCCCTCTCACAGAGTGGTTTACACAGTCACCAGTCTGCTCCTGGTGACAGGCACCGCATGTTTGTCTTTGTTGCGGAAAACACTTCAGGCAGAGGGCTGTCCATCCTGTGACAGGCGGAGTATTTAGGAAAGGAGTAGAAGATAGGGACCTTCCATTAACCTAAAGGGCAGGCCACGGGTCCCTAGTGGCTCTCGCCAGCTTCCTCCATCCACTCTGAGTCGTAAAGGCACATGCAGCACACTTTGGAGCTGCAACAAACATGACTTCAGGGGGCTGGTGGGCAGTTGGAGGGCTCTCCATTTGCATCTAATGAGAGGCTGGATTCTAATTAACTCCTGTGATGTGTTAATTTTTCAACCTGACATTTTCTGCTCTAATAGATTCTTGTAATGGTTCCTAAATTAAAGGCTGCACTTAAAGACTAGAGTTTAGGTTAAAATCCACCACCTAGGGGGGTGTGGGGAGTGTGCTGTAAACATCCTTTCCTTCCCAAGGAAAACCTCTCATTTGCAGTTTTTTGCTAACCCAATTAAGTGCTGAAGTAGTCACCCCAGAGCCCACATTTTTTTTTCCCCTGTGAAACAATCCAACTAATCCATATTCAGCAGCTTCCAAGAAAAGTCTTATTCCAACCACTCATGAAGAAACCAGCTTCTCTGAATCAGGACAGAACATTTAGGACTTACAAAGAGCTGTCTTCATAGAAAACACAAGAAAGTGGTTCATTACTAACCTGTTTAGTTTTTGAGGGGGAAATTCCCTAGGACTAAAACCTCATAGGATTGACTCAACGCACTGTGGAAAACAGAAGCGTGGGGAGAAGCCAGCCACATGCTATTAGTTTATAGATAGTCTAGGTACTACATCTTCTGCAGCACCCAAAGTAGCTATAAAACAGGAACGTGTGTACCGGGTAAAGGGAAGGGAACAATACCTTGCTTGAAGTGGAAGAATCTGAGTCCTGAAGAAGTTAAGTAACAGTTCTGAATGGCAGAGCCAAACCCTCCTCTTATCCATTGTACCACTAGCCAGCAGAGAGGAATCCAGTCACCACAGAGCTCTTGCATGTCAAGGAATCAGAGGCCTGTTCCTCCTACCAAGCATTAGACAGTACATAAGACATTGTATTTGTTAGTGGTGATGGTTTAATATATAGAGGGGCAACCAAGAACCTGTGCAGGAGGCAAAGAAGAATGCCAACATATTTCGTACCTCCACAACCTCATTTCACTTCAATATTTATGAGCCAAGCCACTAGCAAATGGGTAGTGATGGGTTATTGTGGATGTGCCACTGAGCTGAGTACTGGGATGTATGCAGACATATAAAAGGTGGTCCCTATCTTCAAGGAACTTATAGTCACATTCGAGGAGATTAAGACATGAAACCAAGAATGAAACAAGCTTGTTTACACTTAGGTGCTTTCTCTTGGGCTCCCTTACTGTATTATAAGTTTGGTTTTGGGGGTTTTGTTTTTGTTTGTTTGGTCTCCTTCATAACCCTCTAAGGTCAGAGGCTGTGTCTTCTTCACCATCATTCTCCTGAATAGCAAAGAACAATACTACCCGATCCATAGAAGGTACTCAATAGATACTTGTTGAATAAATAAATGAATGATTCAGGCTCTAAGTCCTCTAATTCTTCAGAAAAAGAGAGGTGTCATTATGTGCCCGATATAGGTGACCACCAAAATGCAGCCTAACTGGTTCCAGGATGAAGGCCAAGTCTATTCTATCAGCACACCACCCCCGCCCCCACAGGATAGCTTTCAACTTCCCTCCAAACTGGGATGTTTACCAATAATTATTTTCTTTTTTCATTTTACTGTATCGATTCTTAAATCTTTTAAGGGGAAACAATATCTTGGCCACAATTGTTAGATTCAAAGCCTGTTTTCTACTTTATGAATTAAACCCAGACATTTTCTTATCATGTTCATTGGCCACTTGACCACGCATCTCATTATTGTCTGCTGAAGCAATTGGGAATCATACATGCCGCAAGTCAGGTGGCAAGCAGGGGCCTTCAGCCAAGGAGTTACAAGTCAAAAGATTATCTGTAAGTGGCAAGTTGTAGAAAAATTGGAATGTGAGCTTAGCAATGAGGAGCACATGAGTTTCCAAGAGACTCGGGGAAGCATGGATTAAAAGGCAGCTGTCATA